TCTCCTCATTGGGCAATGGCCCACATGTAAATAATTATTGAGCTTTGAGAGGACATTAGTGTAGGGGGTGGATGGGGCTTTGGTTGGAGATTCCAGAGATGGTGAAGAGCCCTGTGTGTCCCTCTGATAGCTAAAGGGAGGAGACAGCGGAGGGGGTAGCCCCGGGGCCGAGGGAGTCCCTTAGTAATAGACAGCAGCAATAGTCCTTAATGAGAAACCAGGCAAGTCATAATCCTTCACTCATTCCATCAACACATGCATACTTAGCTCCTGCTCTCAGCGCTCTAGCCCAAATGTTTAGATTCCTCCTTGGATATTATTCTAAGGAGTTTCTGGCAATTCAACTTCACTTAATAAAGACGGCGGTTGGGTCTAGATATCAATCAATCAACCAACTGTGCTGTTAGACCCATTCTCAGCTGATAGAGCTGGGACAGTAAAACTCACAAGTCTGCCATGTGCACTTATATTTATAAATTCGGCCAAATCTAATGTTATGTTCCTTCCTCCCTGACTTAGCATGTCTAAGTTACACGTACCCTCTCTAGGGTTCAGCTCATTTATTAGCTAAGGTTTGCTCTTCTTCTTCCTTTCTTCCTTCCTTCTTTTTCTTTGTTTCTTTCTTTGTTTCTTTGTTTGTTTCTTCCTTCCTTTCTCTCTCTCTCTCTCTCTTTCTTTCATCACCTCTCTGGGCAGACCATGTGCTTGTTCCCTGAGGCACTCTGTACTGGATTCAGATCTGAAGACAAATAAAGGATGGTGATCTCGGAGAGGAATAAGCATCTCTTTGTAAAATAACTTCCTCAGATAAGGTCAGTACGTGCTTCCCAGGGAAAGCAGGGTTAGTTTCATTCAATGGGAGGAAGGGGCCGCATGTCTTTGTAAAAGAGTCATTGAATTTTGGATTTGGAAAGTAAGGGAATTTAGTCATCTGTATCCACCCAAACACCCCTGTTTTGATTCCCAAGTGCTACTTGTTCCCATTCAATGCACCTGGCCAGGCTGTGAACACAACTTATATTGCAATTATATTACAGTTCAGCAACCCACAGGATCAGCTCTAATTTGGGGCTGCAGAAACCATGTAGCTACAAGAGATGAGATTCAATTTTTTAAAAAATTTTTTAATGTTTTATTTATTTCTAGGAGAGAGAGAGAGAGAGAGAGAGACAGTGTGAACAGGGGAGGGTCAGAGAGAGAGGGAGTCACAGACTCTGAAACAGGCTCCAGGCCCTAAGCTGGCAGTCAGCACAGAGCCCGACGCGGGATCGAACCCACGAACCGCGAGATCATGACCTAAGCGAAAGTCGGACGCTTAACCGACTAAGCCACCCAGGCACCCCGATATTCAATTTTTAGAGTAGTCAGGGATGGCTCTTGCTTCTCTGGTCCTGTCTTGAGATGAGAATTTAAACCCTAAAATATATATATATATATATATATATATATATATATATATATTAAACCCTAAATATATTTTTAAAGTCTTCAGTGAAATTATAAATAGCCAGCCTACCCACCAGTCCTCATTGTCTTCATTTTCCCGATAATGGTCACTTACAGCAACCACTCCCTCTATCAAAGCCTGTCTTTATCAGGCACTTTCCCCCAGGCAACAATACTTATTGTGATAATTGATAACTTATGTATCTATTCCCCTGCCTCCGCACAAAATAGGGAGCTCTGCATCACCTTCAAATCTAATGACCTGACCCCTTGGGGGTCGGTTTCCTGTAGAAATAGTAACATTGCTGGGGTTTCTCTTTAAACTTTTTATTTTGAAAAAAAAAAAACAACCAACAAACGTAGGCTCACATGCAATCACAAGGACCAATACAGAGCAATTCCTCCACCACCCTTCTTTACCCAGTTTCCCCCATGCTAACATCTTGCAAAACCATAGAACACTATCACGACCAGGATATTCACATTGATACAGTCAAGGCACACAACGTTTCCGTCACTACAAGGATCCCTCATGTTGTCTCCAGTCTTCTCTTAACCGAAAAGGGATTTAATACAGAAAATTAAGTGTTTGGTTTTTAAAAAATTTTTAACGTTTTTATTCATTTTTTTGAGAGACAGAGAGAGACAGACCATGGGTGGGGACGGACAGGGAGAAGGGGAGACACAGAATCTTGAAGCAGACTCCAGGCTCTGAGCTATCAGCACAGAGCCTGATGTGGGGCTCAAACTCACAAACCGTGAGATCATGACCTGAGCTGACTGAGCCACCCAGGCACCCCCAAAACTGAGTGTTTGTAACATTATTGAAGGGGCTGAATGAATGGTTCCCTAGCAATGGCTCTCAGAATACCATGGAACTCACCAATCGTAGGCTATTACTTCTGCCACAATCAGGAAGATGAGGAATCAAGAAGCCACCACTGAGATTATGGCATTCAACAGACCACCAGCAGGAATCCATGGATCTAGATTTGGGACTAGAAGCTGGTTCCCAGGCACTGGAATGCTGAGTTTGGCTGTCACCATGTTACAGACGCTTCTGAACACTAGTAAAGCAGGAGACTGGCCACCATGCACTGCTACAAACCCTCACATCTGTGTGACCTTGCCTGTCAGCAGCAACGGGCTAACATCGGGTAGGACAATGGCTACTGCCTCACTTCCACCTTCCATCCAATCTTACCAACTGGCAGAACCCATCTGTATCTGGAATTCTAACTGCAGCTGAGTCTGGGAAATGGTATTTGAACTTTTTATTATTTTTTTTAATTTTATTTTTTTTAATATTTTTATTTATTTCTAGGAGAGAGAGAGAGAGAGAGACAGCGTGAGCAGGGGAGGGTCAGAGAGAGAGGGAGTCACAGACTGAAACAGGCTCCAGGCTCCTAGCTGGCAGTCAGCACAGAGCCCGACGCAGGGCTCGAACCCCCGAACCGCGAGATCATGACCTGAGCGAAAGTCGGACACTTAACCGACTAAGCCACCCAGGCGCCCCTATTTGAACTTTTTAGATTCTGGAAGGAGTGGATGGACTACATCCAACACAGATGGACACAGAGGTAGATTTGTGTCCTTCGTATTGGGAGCACAAGAGGGGTCCTATCAGATTTGCTATGATTTTCCTGTTAGAGAAAGGGCGAAGTCAACTGCTACTGAGTTTTTTAGTTTCCCAAGTTATTGTGGAGGGAGGAGTGGTGACTTGGCTGACCCATGTTTACTGAGGTTCCTTTTCAGGCTAGCCATCGTGAATTTTTTTTTTAAATGTTTTTATTTATTTCTGAGAGAGACAGAGAGAGAGAGAGACAAAGTGAGCAGGGGAGGGTCTGAGAGAGAGGGAGACAGTGTCTGAAGCAGGCTCCAGGCTCTGAGCTAGCTGTCAGCACAGAGCCCGATGCGGGGCTTGAACCCACGAACCGTGAATCATGACCTGAGCCAAAGTCGGACGCTCAACTGACTGAGGCACTCAGGTGCCCTAGCCATTGTGAATTTGTAGGGGATAGTCTGTCCCTTTGGGTACTTTCTCCAGGTGTGCTTGGCTGTGGGTGCAAGCAAAGAGAGAAGGAGCAGTAGGATTTACTGAGGGTTGGAAAGTTTACCAAATCTGATGAGGGAGCACGGGGCAAGCCGAGGGCAAAATATAGGCTAACAGCACACCCTCCTCCCTCCCCACCCCCTACCTGGTGGAATACGTGTGATATTTCTTGTACCCTCCTGGCTACCCAAAAACAAAGGAAAGGCATTTAAGTGCTTGCCATGGTGATGTGGGAAACTAAGGCAAATGAAAAATTAAATTCTCTTACTGCCCATAGCCCATTGACAAGTCCTTGAAACAGGCAGAGTGACCTCCCTCTAGGAGTTCAGCTGCCTTGATGATGACACTTTGCTAGGGGCAAAGGAGAATCTTAGCTTAACATCGCAACCTCCAGGATCCTGTAAGTCTACTTCCTTTATCTCAACTGCCCCAAGATATATGTTGGCAAAATATCCTACTCCAGGCTTATGGCCCCCCCGATATAATCTGAAGGGTCTCATGACTGAGGTTTTATTAAATGGTAATAAATGGTGTTTCCCTAGCAACAGCTAGCCCCTCAAGGTCCTGGAAAACTTGCTTCCAAAAATATCTCACGGACTTACTCTATCCCTGACCCCCTTCCAACCTGAGGGTATATGAGTTACCAGTCAGGACCCCAGTGCAGCTCGGCCTGCCCACGGATCCTGCCCCCACGCTTTAACAAAATCACCTTTTTGCACCAGAGACGTCTTCAAGAATTCTTTCTTGGCTGTTGTCTTCGGACCACCCTACCATCACCTCAAAACTTCATCAAAATCCATGTGACAAAAAGACGAGGGAGCAAAGGAGTTCAGGGCGGTGACAAGTATGTTGTTAAAATTCATGGGAAATAAGCAGGATCAGGAGTGAAGAAAGGAGAAAGCCCCCGAACTGTGAGGAAGTAAAGTCCATGGGCTAGAGGTGCTGAAAAGTTGGAAAGAGGCCAGAGAAGGACTGTTCAAGTCTGCACTTTTTTTGGTTTGTTTCCAGCACCCTCATTCACACCCAGGCTAATCCTGGATCTGTCCTAAATAGAGAAAGGGGCAATGACTGGCTCAGAAGGTAGAAAAACATAAATGGGGATCTGCAGCTTTGGGGCCACAACTGGTTCACATCTCTGCTCCACCACTTGTAAGATACGTGACAACGGGCAGGCAATTCGTTCACCTTTCCTGGGCCTCCGTTTTTTCTTCTTCAAAAGGAGAAACAGACTACCCCTACCGTTGGTGAGAAGATTTAATGAGATCATGCACGTAAGGCGTCTAATAGTGCCTGGCACACAGTAAGCACTGAACGCGGAGAAGCTGTTACTGTTATGTTTGGAATAGAAAACCAAGGAGGGGTTACAATGAGGACAATTCGAAGTGCACAAGTACTGTGATACAGAACTTCTGGATGGCGAGGCGCATGCGCCTGTCCGCGGGCCTCGGCCGGCGCGGGCGCTGCGCATGCGCCGGAAGTTGCAGCCGGGAAGCCAGCGAGGTCGGTTCCGCCCGACTCTGACATGGCGGCGCCCTTTGTCTGCTCTGAAGTGCCGTCCCCGGCCTTCTCGCGGCCGTGATGCACCTCCCTCTACGGTGGGGTCTGGGACATGGCAGGTGAGGGCCAGCAAACGCCCGGGGCCCGGGGAGTCCCGGGCGCCAGGCGGAGGCGGTGAAGGATGGGGCTCAGCGGGACACTGGGGACGGTTGTGTGGGGGAGGGGAGGGAAGTGGAATGGGAAGGGAACCGGGACTGGGGGGGACCCCACGGGGCAAGGGACGGTGCGGGGCAGCCCGGCGGGGGGCGCCGCCAGGTGAGCGAGCGCTGAGGGGCGAGCGGACCGTCATTTCCTGCGAGGGAGCGCGAGTCGCCTCCCGGCTTGGGTGACACCCCAGTTGGGAGCATCTCCGCCCCCGCCGCCGGGCTGTCACCGTCCCTTGACCCCGCTCACCGTGGCGGGTGGTCCTTCTGCGGCCGCAGCGTGGCAGGGTGTCGGGGCAGCTCGCGTCGGCGGGTCGGGGGCAGGAGGGCACGGGCTTGGCGCCCCCGGAGGTGCTGGCAGAGAGGGAGGTCGACACTGCCCATGTATAGGGCTGTTTCATTCATTCCTTCCTTCCACCCACGGCGGCTCGGCACCTGAGAGCCTGTGAGGCTAGAGCAAGTGAACCAGACAGACTTGATCCTGGTGTAGTGGTTGAAATTGTGAACTGCGGAGCCAGGCAGCTGGGGTTTGAATCCGGACTCCGTGCTTGCCAGCTGTGTCCTGGAGCACATTAGGTTCTCGCTGTGTGCCCCGGGGTTCCCCATAAAGCAGAGACGGTAACAAAACCTGCCTCCTAAGGTTGTTTTAAAGATAAAGGTAACAGGTGTAAGGTGCTGAGAGCACTTCCTAGCACAAAGTAAATGCTGTATGTGTTCGTTGCTGTGATTATTCATTTAGAGCGGAGACTCATGTGGGAGCCTTAGAGATAAATAGGCGATTCCCTACTGCCGTGAAGGAAGAAAAGCCAAAAAGTTCTCCTTGCTCGGAAAACAGAGTAGAGGCACTTCACTCGGTCTAGGCGAATCCAGGGACGCTTCTGGTCCCCAGAAGCCGAGACCTAACAGAGACAAAAAAAAAAAAAAAAAGGGGGGGGGGGGGNAAGAAAAGCCAAAAAGTTCTCCTTGCTCGGAAAACAGAGTAGAGGCACTTCACTCGGTCTAGGCGAATCCAGGGACGCTTCTGGTCCCCAGAAGCCAAAAAAAAAAAAAAAAAAAAAAAAAAAAAAAAAGGGGGGGGGGAGTATTCTTGGTTGAAGATGGGAGTTTGTGAGAAAGCTTAGGAGCTAGTGGAATAACTGAATTAAGTTCTCTGCCTAGAGACCAAGATAAGAGGTAGGACTCCAGAAGCAGGCTGGGGTCTGGTCCTATGGGGCCTTGTAAACCTAGTTAAGGACTTTTAAGTTTTAGGTTAATGGAAAGCCATTTAAGAATCAGATTTGTGGATTAGAAAGATCACCTGGCTGTGTGGAGGAGGCATTAAAGGGAGCAGGCCTGGAGACCCATTAAGAGACTGCTAGAAGAATCCAGGTGAGAAATGAGGCTGGTCTTGAGTTGGGTTAGAGGCAGAGGGTGGGGAGAGAGGTTTTGGTGGCTACATAGATGAGGAAGTTAGGGGCAGAGAGGTGTGAGGATTGACCTCATATTTATGACTGGCAGGTGGTGGATAGGGAACAGGGTGGGGAGCAGCTGTGAGAAGGGAAGACACGTTTAATTTTGAACATGTTGAAAGTGGGTGCCTGTGAAACATTCAAGTGTATGGTGGCGAGCTAGAAGTCGTCATCCATCAACCACTAAGGCTGTGGAAGGGGGTGTGCTCTCCTAGGGCAAGGGCGTGGAATGGGAAGCAGGAGTGTCTGAGACACCCCGGAGGACTGCTCATGCCATAGCAGTGCGGTAACTCGGGCACAGCCTTGTTGCTTTTGCTTATTTGTGGAACATCTCTCTGGGAAGAAGGGGTTCCTGAGCGTGAGGGCTGGGAGCGGGTTTACTCATCTCTGTGTCCCCCGTGTCTGGCACGGTGTCCAGCACGCAGCAGGCCGGTAATGATCCAAACGAGCTTGTATGCTGAGCACTGACTTTGTGTTGGGCTCTGTGCTCAGGGCTCTGAATTTGCCTGTGTTTCATGGGTGAACGAGAAAGGGCAGCTTTTAGGGAGCAGGTGCCTTGCAGGTCCTCGTCTGATTTTTTTTACATTTATTTATTTTTGAGAGACAGAGTAATACAGAGCGTGAGCGGGGGAGGGGCAGAGAGAGAAGGAGATACAGAATCCAGAAGAGGCTCCAGGCTCTGAGCAAGCTGTCAGCACAGAGCCCAACATGGGGCTCTAACCCACAAGCCGTGAGATCATGACCTGAGCTGAAGTCGGACGCTCAACCAACTGAGCCACTCAGGCACCCCCTCATCTGATTTTCTGCTTGGGTGTCTTTGATTCAGGTGATGAGCTGGAGGAGGAGAGCGAAGCTGGAGTTTACGCAAACTGTCGGAAAAGAGTAGCCTGGGCTCCTTGGAAATCTGAGGTATGTATATAATGCTCAAGCACGAGACAAACCAGAAGGTCAGCTTCTCTAGGCTCAGCGTGATTCAAATCACCCTTTCAAGGTAACTTTTTCTTTCAAACGCTACAGTGAGGACCATATCTGAGTGTGGCTCGGAGACTCTTGCCATCACTATCCTGGTTTACTAATAATGACGAGCGGACTAGGTTAATCACTGGGCAGATGCTCACACCTTGTTTTAATCAAGTGCAACCTAACGTGCTCTGGCAAAGCAATCCCAAAATACAGTGGCCGAAACAAAGTCCAAGTTTACTCCTCTCCTCTTAATAATCTCGGGGTAGGCAGCCCAGAGCTTGTAGGGTGTCCTGTTCTGTGAAGCATCCGGAAACGGGGTTCTGGCGATCGTGTGGCTCTTCTTGCTTGAACCCAGATCTCTGTCTCGTGGCCCGAGCTGGCTGCTGCAGCCCCTACCATTGTCGTATGCACTCCATCTGGCAGAACGGGAAGGCCAGAGCGGCGAGCACCTGTTCATTCCTTTTAAGGTTCTAATGTTTAAAGAGACACACTCTTGTACGACGTGTCCCTGAACACGAACATCTGGTGTACAGCCAAGGAACGAATCATGACTGTCCCAAAGCTGGAGGGAAAGCTGGCTGAAGGACCCTGCTTGGTCCCCATGTGACTGGATTGCTGACTCTGGGGCTTGGGCCCAGCCTGAGGGGATGTCCCCCGCGTTGGTGAGGGAAGGCTGGGCGTGCTCCCCACGCCTCTCTCTCCCCAAGGTGGACTGCTCTGGCTTCAGGTAGGTTGACGTTGCCCGGGCGCAGGGAACCCGGGCCTGTTAATGCGTCCGGCTCCCCCTGTGCCCAGTGGGTCAGACGCCGTGCCAGGTGCCAGCGGGGGAAGACTGGATCCTGGGAGCAAGGAGCTCGTCGACCTGTGGGCCATCAGCGTACAACACAAGCAACACCACAGGAGCCTCTCCCCAAGGGTGAGGCACCCAGGGGGAAGGATGAGTGACGTGAAAGGCTCTGTGGAGACAGGGGAGCTCCAGGGTGAATAATGTGTTTGGATTGACATTTGTGAAGGTCCCCTCAGGTAGAGGCGGTAGGGACTCTGGTGTTGGGTGTGAATCCCTACCTCTCTGTTTAGTGGCTGTGTCCTGAGGCCCAGTCGCGTCACTGCTGCGCCCTAGTTTCCTCATCTGTCAAATCGGGATAACAGTACCTACGTCACAGAATTGTTTTTGAGAATTCCCTGTGGGGAAGCCGGGTTGTGTCCTTGCTCAAGGCAGGAATTCTCCCGGGTGTGCAGGGGGGGTCAGCGACTGCTCTGGGAGTTCTACCATGCTCTCTCTTTAAAGGGGTCCATCTGTGGATTCTCAGAGACCATACTCTGGTCTGGCTAGGGGTCCTTTGGGAAGGGAAGGATTGCCTCTGCCTGTTTAATTCCCATAAGTGCAAGTGCTCCTGGGAAGCTTTCTCCAGGCCCTGCCCGCTCCCCCAGCCCAGCGGAGTGTGGGGCTCCTCCTCTGCGGATTTCTTAGCATCCTGTGCTGATCTCTAAGTGCATCCCTACCTCACGTTATAAGCCTAGGTTTCTCTGTGCGTCTCCTGGTTAGCGCGTCGGCATCATGCAGGCAGGGACGGGGGCTTGTTTCTCCTGGTCATCCCACTGGGGAGCTCATTTCCTGGCACATTGCCGGTGCCCGGTAAACCTGCTTGGATGGATGAGTGATCCGCCTTGGTGGGCTAGAGAGGAACCAGCAGTCAGGGTGGGGAGAATGCCAGTGTGACGTGCGGTTGGCGTGCTGTTGATTGAAGACAGGAGAACCTGATGGTTTGTTGGGTATCTGGCTGGAGTAGGGGATGTGAACATGGTGACCTACAAGAGTTGAGAGTTTAGGTCAGAAGATAGTTTCTCTGTCTTTTTCTAGTAGAGCATGGCTTCTCAACTTTGATGGGCTTTCTTGTTCATTTATTTTTGAGAGAGAGTGTGAGCGGGGGGTGGGGGTGGGGGTTGGTGAGGGGGCGAGAGAGAGGGAGACACAGAATCCAAAGCAGACTCCAGGCTCCTAGCTGTCAGCACAGAGCCCGATGCGGGGCTTGAACTCACAGACCTCAAGATTGTGCCCTGAGCTGACGTCGGACGCATAACCCATTGAGCCACCCAGGCGCCCCTTCTGAACCTTGATGTTATTGACATTCAGGGCTGCGTAAATCTTTGTCGCGAGCTGTCCTGTGCACTTTGGGGTGCTTATAGATGGCCTCACCTATAGATGCCTGCAATACTCATCCACCTCTAGCTGTGACAATGGGACAGACTGTCTCCCGCAGGGCCCTTGCAGTATAGGGTGCTGGTTAGAAGTAGACATACCTGGGCCCTTACTCATTCTTATACTTACTACATATGTGCCTTTGGGCAAAATTCTTGGCCTCTGCAAGCCTCCGTTTCTTCACTTGCAAAATGGGGATGCTGATGACCTCACACATAAGTTTATTGGCCAGAATTATTGATGAGGTGATGCATGTAAAATGCTTAGCTGGGGCCCTGTGTCCACGATTGGTAACTGGTGTTATTATGTGTTAGTTAGGAGAAGAGGACCCTTGAGAGGGTCAAGGAAGGGTGTGTAGAGTTGGAAGAAAAAGGTTTAGGAACACGTACAAGGTACGAAAGTCAGAAGGTTTAAGAGAATGAATTGTGGAGAGGTAAGTCACCCTTCTGCACCCGACCCAGTTCCCCTCCTAGAGAGCTGGGGGTGCTCTCTGGGGTTCTCTCTGGAGCTATTGCGTGCATGAATATGTCTTTGTGTATATCTAGGGAGGACCATTTTGTAAGAGTCAAGACCCCGAGCTCCTGCGCGTAGAGGGGCAGCCTCTGTAGGCGGAGCTTCAGGGTTTCACTAGTTTGCCACATAAATGACCACACTCTTTTTTTTTTTAATGTTTTATTTATTTCTGAGAGAGAGAGAGAGAGAGAGACCGTGTGAGCATGCGGGGGTCAGAGAGAGGGAGACACAGAATCCGAAGACAGGCTCCAGGCTCCCAGCTAGCTGACAGCACGACGCGGGGCTCGAACCCACGAACTGTGAGATCATGACCTGAGCTGACGTCGGACACTTAACCGACTGAGGCCCCCCAGGCCCCCCTCACTCGACTGTCCTGGAATTCCTCAAAGGGTGGGCCCGGAGTGAACGGCAAGGAGGTGCTCAGACATGGTGTCGCAGGGTGGTCGCAAAAGGGAGGGACCCAGCCAAATACATTTGTGTGCACAAAGCCTGTTGTCCTGGAGACCGCTCCCTCCCTCCTTTGCTGGCCATAGTTTCAAAATGACTGAAATAATAAAGGTCGAAGCATAAGCATTTGCCGTGCTGTTTCCTCCGCACTTGCTGCGGACGCGTGCGCTGAGTGGCAGCACCGGTAACCTGGCCCTCGTGTGGGCCTACAGTAGCTCGCCTGCCGAGGGGCTGGTGAAAGTAGACCTCCGGGCTATAATCGCCACAGGCTCATATGGAAAACCTGGACTCTGGGAGTCAAGCCTGCTTACTAGGAACCAGAGAGATGTGAGCCTTGAACTTCCAAGTTAGGAAGCAGAGGGCCTCGGTAGAACTGGGAGTTGCTCACTCCTATCGAAACAGCCACGTGCAGAGGCCCGAGGGGGCCATTCCAGCTGAGAGTGGGGCCACCCTGAAAGCAGGTGCAGTGGGTTCCTGGCGACCTCACACACCTTGACGACTGCAGCCCTGTGACCTACAGGGGGGTTGTTGAGAGTAAATCCTGCGAGTCCTCATCACAAGGAGAGAGTTGTTTTCCTTTTCTTTCTTTTTATTTTTTTTTAAAGTTTATTTACTTATTTTGAGAGGGGGGAGAGAGAGAGAGAGCGAGCGTGAGAGGGAAAGCATGCATGCCCAAGCGAGCGTGAGCAGGGGAGGGACAGAGAGAGAGAGGGAGAGAGAGAATCTCAAGTAGGTTCTGCACCGTCAGCACAGAGCCCAGCGCGGGGCTTGAACTCAAGAACTGTGAGATCGTGACCTGCGCCAAAACCAAGAGTCAGACCCTTAGCCAGCTGAGCCACCCGGGGGGCCCCCTCTTTCTTGTGTCTCTGTGAGAAGAGGGATGTCAGCTGCACCTGCTGTATCACACGTCATCATATGTGGTGACTCGCGCCAGCTGCTGTCCGCCTGAAACTTACACAGTGATGTATGTCAATTATTTCTCAGTAAAACTGGAATCCCCCCCCCCATAAGAAAAAGTACTCAGCTTTTTGTCATTAGAGGTCTGGCAGTAGAACCTGTTCCCCCACCCCACCCACACCACTTCCTATACTGGGACTATTATTAATCTAAGCAGTCGCTTTCCTGTCCCGAATGGGAGGCGCTGCTGCCCAGCGGGAAGCTCTTTTTCCAGGCGCCCTGAGCCTGGTAGGTGAAGCACGTCTCATTTTGGTAGTCCTGGCGGTGGGGGCCCCGGGCAGGGACTTTCCTGGTTTACTGTAACTCAGCCGCCCAAGTTCATGCCTCGAAGCATTGCTTAGGGGCGCCTGGGTGGCTCAGTTGGTTAAGCGCCTGACTTGGTTTCGGTTCAGGTCATGATCTCATGGTTCATGGGTTTGAGCCTTGCGTGTCGCTCTGTGCTGACATCAAGGAGCTTGCTTGGGATTCTCCCTCTCTCTGCCCCTCCCCTGATGGCCCTCTCCTTCCCGCTCTCAAAATAAATAAATTTAAGAAAAAAACCTCCAAAAAGCAAAAACAAAAACATTGTTTAAAGTCAGAAAGAACATTGTTTAATTTTGTAAAATATTGAGTAGATACAAAGAAATATGTACAGCATAAAGATAGATACAACGAAACCATGGCTCAAATTACAAATAAGAATGTTACTGTTTGTTACCTTTGGAGCACCCCTCCCTGATCCTGTCCTGCCTCCCCCCACCCCCAGGTCATCACAGTTTTGCTTTTATCATTCTCTTGTCTGTCTTTATAGTTTTTTTTTAATTTTTTTTAAAAATATTTTTATTTATTT